CCTAAACCCTAAACTCTGAACCCGAAACCCTAAGCCCTAAACCCTAAACCCTAAGACCTAAACCCTAAGCCCTAAACCCTGAATCCTAAACCCTAAGCCCTAAGCCCTAAACCCTAAACCCTAAGACCTGGTTCTGTTCCCACGTTACAACGCTACATTCAGGATGCTTGACAACCAAATCGTCCAATGATGTAGCAACCATGCGGAGCCTTGCCGGCCTTGTGCGAGTGTGAGAGTCGAAACCCTAAGCCCTAAACCCTGAATCCTAAACCCTATGCCCTAAGCCCTAAACCCTAAACCCTAAGCCCTAAACCCTAAACCCTAAACCCTGAATCCTAAACCCTAAGCCCTAAGCCCTAAACCCTTAAAACCTAAGCCCTAAACCCCAAACCCTAAACCACCCAGTCGGCAGGTCCCATGGGAATCCGGATGATTGGCCTGCGCCCCCGGTCCCCGGACGCCCCTAAATTGGGGGCTTACTCGGGGAGTCTCTGGTGGAGAGTGTTAGGGTCACTGCTTCAGGGTTTGAGCTTTGAACCAACCCTAAACCTCCTAAACCCAGGTGAGTTTGGCCAAGGATGGAGTGACCCTGAGACCCAAATACTTCGATTTCGGATTAGACGTTAAATAATACCCTCTTGCAGTGGAGGGGGTCTTTCTTAAATAAAGGAGGTTAGCGGTTAGAGTCTCTGGGTAGTGTTGGGGTTCGGCTTGCGGCGCTTAGCCTCAACATCGCCGCAACAAGGAGCATGGAAGCAGCGTGGCAGAGGCCACAGGGTGTTAGGGTTTAGACAGTCTCGGGCTAGATCCAAACCGTGAACCGTGGCGCTGTGCCCCTACAACACGGCCACTATGCAGTACACGTGCTGGTGGGTTCGTTTGTCGATTTCACTCTGCTGGTTCCATGCGAATCCTGCATGGTCGGACAGGCTTTGTGCAAAAAATGAGACCAAACAGCCCAAAACCCTAAGCCGCTTACGGTGCGAAGCACGGAATTTGGGAGTCCAAGCTAAGTTAGATTAGACATGGCTAGACCCCAACTATAAGCCCCTCGAGCTCTAGACACCGAAAACCCACACCCTAAGCCCGAAAGCTTAAACCCCAGGCCCTAAACCCTAAACCCCAAAGCCTAAACGTTTCTATAGACCCAAACTCAGAAGTGAGAGCTTCCCCACGAGGTTTGGGACTCATGGTCGATAGCTCACGGTGCTCGGTAGGATGTTTTTAGGGTTTAAGGTTTAAGGTTGAAGGCGTAGGGTTTAGACAATTTCGTTTGTGTCTGTGTCTGATCTTGCAAAGCCACAAACAGGCCAAACTAGTCTAATTCAATCCGAGCTCTGCCAAACTAAGCGATGGAGCCAAGCCGATATTGATGTGTTAGGAGTTGTAACAGCAGTAGGAATCGTCGTCGTAGTAGCAAGCACAGCAGCAGAAGGAGGAGGAGGAGGAGGAGGAGCAGTAGCTAGTAACAGCATCAGGGGCAGTTGCTACCGTAGGAGCTTGGGTAATCACCGGCAGTCGTCGCCGTGGTCGTGGTCGTCGTCGTCGTCTTCGTCGATGTGGCCGCCATAGTTTTCGTACCGTTCTTGTCATAATTAATAGTGGCAGCAGGATCAGGACATGAAGGAGAAGAATTAGGGTGAGAGGTTTTCCGTAGGCCATGTCCCGCTGTAGCACTAAAGTCCGGCCTCTGCGAGCTGCAAACAGTTAACAGTCAGTGGGTAGCTCTCTAAAATATGATCCCTTTCTGGTCCCCCATATAGTACGGCACCCTTATACTAAGGACCCTAAAAGGGACCCTAATTTAGAAAACTACCCAAGTGTTTGTAAACTCCAAACCTGATCGCCCTCAGGACAACACGGTTGTGGCCCAAGCCCTTGATCCGTGTGCTTCCGTGCGCGCCAACATGGGGCTGCCGCCGCTCGACGAGGAACTTCAAGGCAAGATCTTGGAGTATCTATGCAGCAACTTGGTAAATTTTCTAGTTTCCCTCAGAGTTTTGCAGAGGTGCCTATTTTGGGAGTCCTGAAGCCACCGAGGTATGTAACAGAGCCGACGGCTTGCGTGAGTTGCAAGCCCTGGAAGCATTTCCTCTATGACAACCTGAAGCTTGATTCCTGCATCCGCTTCAAGCAATGCTTGAATGACAAAGATCCGCTGGCATATTGCTACAGTGCTGTCCGGCCTTTAGGTGAAGATTTCGAGGAAAGCGTCGGGTTCAATTTCCAATTTTTCCGCGACGGAAGCTACAGGCTAGCCTGGACTAGAACTTATGATGCATGGTCATCGCAGGGCGAGCAGCACTACGGCAAGTGGAGGCTCAAGATGGGGGAGGTGTGTTGCGAGACCCTTGAACCTCAAGAAGAGGCTTCTGAGACACAGATGAGATATGCACCAGCGGGCTACAAGTTCGCAGTTCCGGTCGAGGATATTCTAAGCGCCGAAGGTACGAGTTCCTGCAAAATGGAGCTCTACCTTAAGAACCCAAAACCCACTTTTTTGTAGGGTCCCTAGAAATCCCATATTAGGGTTTATAATAAGAACCTACAAAAAAGTGGGTTTTGGGTTCTTAAGGTAGACTCTAGAAATCCCTATCAACAATCGCTGGGACGCTTAGACCAACTGCCCAAACCCATAAGCCCAGTAGATTTGCGTTTTGGGTTTAGGGTTACCCTGCAGCCTTGTGTCTCGCCTGCCATGAAGCCTAGTGGCAGTGTCTGTCGCCTTCGCCAGGCCCTAAACCCTAAACCCTAGACCCTAAACCCCAAAATCCTAAACCCTAAACCCTGAGTCAGGCCGTCCTTGTCTGGCTCGTCCCAGTACGAACGTCAACAAATCCCAAATCATTAAACCCTAAACCCCTAAACCCTAAACCCTAAGTCTTCCAAATCCCTAAACCTGAACCTTGGAGCCTTAAGCCTTAAACCTTTCAGCCAAAAAACTTGATACCGGAACCGATATGCCGGAGTGCGCGCCTCCAAAAGCCGAAAGGCCGAGAACGCTAAACCCTAAACTCTACTTGGAGGTTCATGGGTTACTCGGAGGCCCAGGGGGCTTAGTAAGTCGGCCACAAGTAGGGTTATAAATTGGGGTAACTCCAGTTATGGTACTTGTAACTCTACTTATAACCTACTTACTAAGTCCCCTGGGCCTCCAAGTATAAATGGTGTTATACGTAGGGTAGCTATACGTATGACCCATACTAGGGGTCTTATAACCCTACTTATACCTACCCATGAACCTCCAAGTTTTCCCGAACCCTTCGTAAACCCTAAACCTTAAAACCTTAAACCTTAAACCCTAAACCCTAAACCCTAAAACCCTAACCCTAAACCCTAAACCCAAAACCCTGAACCCTAAACCCTAAACCCCAGGTGGCTACTTCCAGGCGAGAGATGGCTCCCGAGCAGCCGATTGGGAGCTCCCGGCCAGAACGGGGAAGCTGAACGATGGTCAAAGCACCTGGGCCTAGGGTTTTTATGGTTTTAGGGTTTTAGTTTTTTTTTATTTTAGGGCTTTAGGGGTCTGGGTTTTTTTTTGAGTGTAGGGTTTTAGGCTTTTGTTTAGGGCTTTGGTTTTTTGAGATTTTGGGATTTGAGGGTTTTGGGGTTTTTGGGTTTTAGGGCTTAGGGCTTCGGCTTTGGGCTGACCAGAAGTGTCAATTCGCATGCTCTCCTTGCTTTGGGTTGGGGGACGGTGGGTTTGAGGGCTGCGGGACAAAGAGGCCTGCTGCAAAAAGGCCGTTACGCAGAATAGGTATTACATACACGGTTTAGGGTTTAGGGTTGAGGGTTTACAGCCTCTGAGGCTTTCATAAAGCGCCTGGATCATTATTCGGCCCGCTACGGTGCCGAGACTAGTTGCTAAGTGTAGCATGAAACAAGCTCAAGTACGTAGCTAGGTGGGCCTTTGAGACATTTTATATTTCCCTTATTGGGCTTAAGGAGACAGTATTTAGGAATATGTTTCAGAGGCTTTAAAGGGCCAACCTGGGTAGCTTAAGTGGGACCACAAGTCACAGGTTTCCAATGTAAGCCTACCATATCCTAGGCAGAGGAAGTATACTTGTTGTGAAGCCTCACGCCCAAACCCCGAACCGTAATCAAAGCCCGAGATGAACCCTGGACCCCAAACCCGACACCCTGCACCCGACACTTTAAACAAGGTAAAGCCCAGCTGTCGTTCCAGTGGGTTTGCTGGTTATAATGTCATACTTCCTATGGTATAGCCCCCAAACCCTCTTCTGATTGTTACGATCCCGAAATCAACCCCTCATGTATCACTATAGTAACCCCCTTAAAGGACCCTTTTAAGGGACCCTGTTCCAGAAGCCCGAACCCTAAAGAGTCATAAACTATTTTCCTAAAGGTCCGAGGTGCCTGCTTGGGAAGTGCTGGAGTGTCGTAGTTACAGAGAGTCCTTGGGCCTCTTTGGGGTTTCAGGAGTCCTAGTTTTGACGGTTCCTAAAACAGCAAGACCCGCAGGGCAAGTTAAAGCCCAGGTATCTGGACCGCAGGAATGTGGGAGCCCGTTGAAGCCACTGAGAGAGAGGCCGTCCATCGTCCAGTGAGGGCCGATGCTAGGCCTTGTTAAGGGGAATACGAGTAATTAGGATTCGTGATCGCATAGGGTCGTTGGGGGTTCTGACTGCTGCTTTCATGGTGTTGCAGTGTGTTCGAGGTGTTTGTAAGGGTTCCAAGGATGTGAACTTCGAGATATCCAAAGAGGGAGGTACAGCAAGTAATCTGCTTTAATTGCTCTGGCAACCTGAGTTAAATTCAAGGCAATGTTGAACCCGCCGCACCGACAAACAGGAGTTATGGAACCCTTGACCCATAAAACCCCCACCCGATCCTCATGAAAATCGGCGCGGAGCCTTTATAAGGTGATACAAACCTTTAATACAAGCCCCTTGTATAATCCAGAAACCCCAATACCTAAACCCTAAACCCTAAGCCGTTTCCAAGACTCTTCCAAGAAGAACCCAGGATGCCAGGTTTGTGGACATCGATGGAGAAATCCACGAGGCCTAGGGTGCCTTCTTGGATCCCCCAAATCATGTTTAGGGTTTAGGGAGTGCACCCTTGTAAGCAAGACCCAGAAAGGGCCCCTAACTTAGAGAACTACGGTACTATAAACTATAATAAGGAACCCCCCACAAAAGTATAGGTAATTATTAAGGCTTCTAGGGTACAACTGAGGGCTTCAAGGTTTGGGATACTCGGTCACATAACACCCCTACAAACCTTATTATTAAAGCCTTAGATCCGAACCTCTGACCTGCCAAAGCCTCAGCCCACAACCCTAAACTTAAGCCCTGAACCCACAAACCCTGAGGTATATCACCCCTGAAACCCTAAACCCTAAACCCCTAAACTCCTAACCCTTAAACCGCTTAAACCCCTAATCCCTGAAACCCCAAAGCCTGAAACCCAAAACCCTAAACTCTAAACCCTGAAACCCTAAACCCTGAAACCCTAAAGCCCCTCGGCCCTAAAACCTAAACCCAAAGCCCTAAATTAAACTCCTAGCCCCTAACTTAAAGCCTAAACCCTGAAACCCTGAACCCTAAACTCCTAAAACCCTGAAACCCTGAACCCTAAACCCTAAACCCCCAAACCCAAAGCCCCAAATTAAACTCCCAGCCCCTAAACCCGAAGCCCTAACCCTAAACCCTAAACCCTAAACCCTGACAACAAGGGCCCTTAAAGAAAAAAACCGCTAAACTCTCAAAACCCTAAACCCTGAACCCTAAACCCTAAACCCTAAACCCTAAACCCTAAACCCTAAACTCCTAAACCCTAAACTCCTAAACCCCTAAAAGCCATCCCTCCAGGTCTCTGGCGACATTGTGGCGAACTGGCCCGAGGACCAATGGCCCCGCCTGATGCGCTGTCGACTGCGCTTTGGGATCCAAGGGTAGCTTGGGTTTAGGGTTTAGGG